AGGAAGTGCAGCAGCACACTCAGAAGGGCGAAGTAGAAGCAAAGGGCATCCTCCAAAGCATGACAGACTTGCAGCAGGAGGCGTTGTTTTATGTGGCTGATGCGCAGCAGACATGCGAGTTGGATGCTTGAAGCCTGAATTGCAAACTGTGAACGGTGTGTATAGTACTATAGGATTATCGTTAGTTCGTGCTACTGTTGAGTGCGAGACAACACTTGACAGATGTTGCAGGCTTGGCAGGAAATGCAGCAGCATTTAACGAAGGGCAAAGCAGAAGCAAAGGATGTCTGCCAACACGTGACAGACTTGCACCAGGCAGCGCTGGGTTTTTCCAGCTGCGTGTGTTGTGCACTTGTATGTATGTGTGTGTGTGTGTCGGTGTGCGGCTGTGGGCATCATTTTGTATTTTTGGGCCACGGGAGTAGTTGGCATTGGAGAACTGTTTGGCGCAGAAGCCTTGCGAGCTCTTCCGCATTTTTGTTTCTTCGGAGAGGCTTTGCAGGAAGTGCATCAACAGACAAAGCAAAGCAAGGCTGACACACTGGGTCTTCGTGAACGCATTCAAGACTTGCAGCAGGACACGGAATTGACCCCCTGCTAACTTGAGCAGATATTTGCCCGCATACGTTTGCAGACTTGCATGTTTGAGCGCATGCTGAGTTATTGCCATGCTTGCAGGAGGTGCAGCAGCACACTCAGAAGGGCGAAGCAGAAGCAAAGGGCGTCCTCCAAAGTGTGACAGACTTGCAGGAGGTGGGAATTTATTTGGTTGATGTGCAGCTGCCATGAGTAGATGTGTGCAGCTTGATTTGGAAAGAGTTGAGAGGTCGAGTAGAATAGCTAAGGTAGGCTTGTCATTGGTTTGTGTTGCTTTTGTGTGCGGGAAACGCTTTGCAGATGTCGCCAGGCTTTGCGGGAAATCCAGCGGCTAACAACGAAGGGCGAAGAGGAAGCAAAGGAGGTCCGCCAGAACGTGGCAGACTTGAATCAGGCAGCACCTGGCATTCACCTGTTTGTGCGTGTGTGTGAATGTGTGTGTGTGTGTGGCTACGCGCTTGTTGGTGTGAGTGGTTGTGATTGCTTGCTTGCACAGCTATTTGCATGTGTGCACCACTTCCTAAAAGTTTACATGCTGCTGGGAAGGTTTTCTGATGCGTCCCTCTAACTTGTGGATCCTCCGTTTCTTTTCTGTCTGAGACTTTGCCGGAAGTGCGGCAACAGACAACGCAAAGCAACGCTGACACATTGGGTCTTCGTGAGCGCATTGAAGACTTGCAGCAGGACACGGAATTGGCCCCCTGGTAACTTGAGCATGACATTTGCTGCAAGCTGCTTGTTTTGTAGGGTATTTGCCCGCATACGTTTGCGGAGTTAGTTGTATTTTGAGGACATGCTGAGTTGTTGTCATGCTTGCAGGAAGTGCAGCAGCACACTCAGAAGGGCGAAGCAGAAGCAAAGCGCATCCTCCAAAGCGTGACAGACTTGCAGGAGGCTGGGTTTATCTGGTTGATGCAGCTGCCACCTTGATTTGAAAAGGCTTGAGAGGTCGAGTAGAATAGCCAAGGTAGGACTTGTCATTCGTGTTTGCTGGTTTTGAATAGGGAAAACCGCTTGGCAGATGTCGCCAGGCTTTGCAGGAAATGCAGCGGCACATGACGAAGGGCGACGGGGAAGAAAAGGAGGTCCGTCAGAACGTGGCAGACTTGCATCAGGCAGCACCGGGCATTCACCTCTGTGTGTGTGAGTTGTGTGCGTGCATATTTGCGTGCGCGCGTGGTTTGTGCTTGTGTGTGTGTGTGTGTGTGTCAGTGTGTGTCTGTGTGTGTCTTCTTGGGGACTTACGCGTGAATGTGTATATATATATATATATACGTGCGCGTCTGCCTCTCTTGTTTTGATTTAAAGGTTGTGTGTTTGTGTCTCTGTGTCTACTTGTATGTACTTGCGTTTGTGTGTTTGTGTGAGGGGTTGTGATTGCTTGCCTGCACAGCTATTGGCTCGTGCGCACTATTAGGTCCTTCCAAAAAGTTTACATTTTGCTCCGAAGGTTTTGTGATGCGCCTTTCTCTAACTTGTGGATCCTCCGTGTTTTTTTTGTTGTTTTTTTTGTTTCTGTCTCAGGCTTTGCAGGAAGTGCAGCAACAGACAAAGCAAAGCAAAGCTGACACACTGGGTCTTCGTGAGCGCATTCAAGACTTGCAGCAGGACACGGAATTGACCCCCCGCTAACTTGAGCAGATATTTGCCCGCATACGTTTGCAGACTCGCATTTTTGAGTGCATGCTGAGTTGTTGTCATGCTTGCAGGAGGTGCAGCAGCACACTCAGAAGGGCGAAGCAGAAGCAAAGGGCGTCCTCCGAAGTGTGACAGACTTGCAGGAGGCGGGAATTTATTTGGTTGATGCGCAGCTTCCATGAGAGTTAGATGTGTGCAGCTTGATTTGGAAAGAGTTGAGAGGTCGAGTAGATAGCTAAGGTAGGACTGTCATTGGTTTGTGTTGCTTTTGTGTGCGGGAAAACGCTTTGCAGATGTCGCCAGGCTTTGCGGGAAATGCAGCGGCAAACAACGAAGTTCGAAACAGAAGCAAAGGATGTCCGCCAAAACGTGACAGACTTGTACCAGGCACCGCGAACTGTTTCCCAGATCGCTTATGTGTGTGTGACATGTGCGTGCATGCGTGCGTGCGTGCGTGCTTGTGTGAGTGTGTGTGTGTAAGCGTGTGTGTGTGTGTAAGCGTGTGTGTGTGTGAACCGTCCTGGAACACGGACGTTAAACCCTTCGGAGCTTTTTTTTTAAGCAGGGGGCCAGCGGCCATCAAGCAAACGCTGGCCAATGAAGCTATGCTTGATGGTGGATGCACGGATTGATCACCCGTGTGTACCTGCCTTTCCTTCTCTTTTCCTGACTGTTTTTTCTGTCCTGTTCACTGTTGCTTCCTGGTTTCTGTTCTGCATTGCGACCTGTCAAGCAATTTCAGCAGTTGCAGGTTTTTCCAGCGTTTTCATCTCGGCTAGTGAAGCCTCTCGAGATAAGTGTGTGTGTGTGTGTCTGCGCGCGGCTGCATGCATCATTTTGTCTGTTTGGTCCAAGGGAGTCTGAGTAGTTCATGCATGTGCAATGGTTTTTGCAAAATCGTCAACTTTGTGTGATGCGCCTGCGATCACTTCCGAGTTTGTATTTTTGTTTGGCTGAGAGAGGCTTTGCAGGAAGTACAGCAGCAGACAAAGCAATGCAAAGCTGGCACCTTGGGTCTTCGTGAGCGCATTGAAGACTTGCAGCAGGACACCGAGTTGATCCCCTGGTAACTCGAGCATTGCAGCTGCTGCAGGCTGCTTGTTTGGTAAGGGTATGTGCCCGTGTATTTTGAACACGTGCTGAGTTGCATTGTTGTTGCAGGAAGTGCAGCAGAACACTCAGAAGGGCGAAGCAGAAGCAAAGGGCATCCTCCAAAGCGTGACAGGCTTGCAGGAGGCATGTTGTTGCTTCTTGTTCTTTTTTGTTTTTGGTTGATGCGCAGCTGCCATGAGAGTTGGATGTTTGAGGCTTGATCTGGAAAGACTTGATATCTAAGAGCTAAGGTAGGACTTGTCATTAGCCTGTGTTGCTTTTGAGTGCGGGGGAATCGCTTGGCAGATGCCGGCAGGCTTGGCAGGAAATGCAGCAGCATGTAGCGAAGGGCAAATCAGAAACAAAGGATGTCCGCCAAAATGTGACAGACATGCACCAGGCAGCGCTATGTGCTTCCGAGCGCAAAATGTGTGTCCTGTGTGCTGTGTGTGTGTGACCGTGCGCATCACGTTTGCGTTATTGAACCATGAGAGTTGTTGGCGTTGGTGCAATGCTTTAATGCTTTGGGCAAAAGCGTCAACTTGTGTGATACGCCTTGCGAACTCTTCCGCGTTCACATTTGTTGTTTCTGAGAGGCTCTGCAAGAAGTGCAGCAGCAGACAAAGCAAAGCAAAGCTGACACCTTGGGCCTTCGTGAACGCATTGAAGACTTGCAGCAGGACGCAGAGTCAACCCCACTTAGATTGATGTTTCGCTACACGCTATGTGGTTTGTGAGGGTATTGCAGAATTGTGTTTTGAAGACATGCTGAGTTACCTTCTTGTCAGAGCTTGCAGGAAGTGCAGCAGCGCACAAAAAAGGGAGAGGCAGACACAAAGGACGTGCGCCAAAACATGACAGACCTGCAGGAGGCAGGGCCAAATAAAATAGGCTCACGCGTTTCAAAATCAGCTTTTGCTGACTTGAGACCTGTGCGGTGACGATGTTGATTGCCTGAGATTCGTAGAGCTCCGCAGGCTTTGCAGGAAGTGCAACATCGCACAAGGAAAGGCGTAGCAGACGCGAAGGGTGTCCGCCAAAGCGTGACAGACTTGCAGGAGGCAGTGCTCAAGATGACTTCTTCTCATGTGAAAGAGGCATGTACATTGACTTCAAGTATCTGACCCAGCGTGTTTTTGCATGAATGCGTTTTTGCAATTTGCGATGACTGACGCATGTTGATGCAGACAGCTAGTGATTAGTTGTGCGTTTTCGTGCTCGCTTTGATTCAGCAATCTCATGCCATGCAACTATGAAGAACTTGTGTTGGACCTGCATGCAGGAAGTGCTGCAGAGTCCAAAGAGAGGTGGAGCAGATACCAGCGACATCCGCAGAAGCGTGACGGAATTGCAGGAGGCAGTGATTAGTGAGGTGCATGAACCACCAGAGCATAAGATATTGCAAGTGACTCCATTGACTCCAGTGGCTCTTTGTGCTGGCATTTGATCACTGGGCAGCGATTGACGGTCGCGGGTTCGCTTCGGTCCTAGTTGCTGGCTCGCTTCGGTCCTAGTTTTCATCTCGCTTCGGTCCTAGTTTCCTTACTCGCTTCGGTCCTAGTTTCTTCGCCGTTGACTATGGTGTTTGAGAGGCAACATCCTTGTCGACCCCACCCCACCCGGCATGTCTTGTTGTTAGGTGTTTGAGAGGCAACATCCTTGTCGACCCCACC